TCGCCCTTTGTCTCCTCTTCTCTCTCCTTGCTCTTGCCTGCAGCTGCTGCTTGGCTTGGTTTCCCCTTCTGCTCCACCGCTGAAAGCTCTTGAGTTTAACTGTTCTGAAAAGAATGCGGGAGCGTGTGGCTACCAAAGAGTTTGTCAGGAGACTTAGGGGGTCAGTCTCCCAAAATCTGATTTCGGACCTCGTTTGGACCTCGTTTGCACCTCGTTCGGACCTCGTTAAAATTGCAGCCAGCCAAAACCCAGCCCGGAGTGCAATAGTTTGCTGCTTGGTCTGCTGCTGCTGCTGTTGTTGTTGCTTGTGTTGCTGCTTCTGGGAAAGGCGCGGTTTTCGGGCAGGGAAACCAGAGATTTGTGAAAGGGCTGGAAGTTTTTGCCTGCCTCAGAATTAGTCCTTTTTGACCGTCGGTGTGCCAATAGGATTTCCACCTGGCGGAAGATTAGTGATGTCTGGCGTAAGCGGTGTGCCATACGGCTGGCGCAAGTATGCGCAAGTTCTAGTAAATGGCGTAGGTATCAATGTGCATGTTTGGATAAGCGTCCACATGGTGTTTAACATCCGTGGATATATATGTTTAAGATTGTGGGACACAACTGTGCACACGCGTCCTGATGGGGATTTGGAACATTTGGAAATAGAAAAGTGCGCTGCCAGGGATCTAAAAATAACACTTCTACATAGTGCGCCCCATGGTGTTTTAGACCTGGTTGCATTGACTTGTTTGATTTCCTGAATGCGCGGCGTCCCATGCAGCTTTTACCTCCGTTCCACATGTGCACTGACTTCCACGTCCCAGAGTAGGGCAAAAGTACGCACCCAAGCTGCATTCTTTACCCTGCCTGAGGACAAAATAGGACAAACACCGAGACAACATCCTCACACCTCGACCTCTGGCACGCCAAGCCGTCAAAGGTTGCAGGAAAGAAAATTCCCCGAACTGAATGCAACACAAAACCTGCAGATGAACATCCAGCCGTGCTGCACCCAAAATGTGTAGGAAACGCAATCTACCTCAGCATCGATCGGAGGGACATCCGTTTCGAAGTAAAAGAATTAGCTCGACACATGCGCGATCCTGGTGAAGTAGATTGGGAAGATCTCCTGACCCCAGGACGCTATCTCCTTCACAAACCGGTCCTTGCAAGAGTTGTCACGTTGAATCCCGAAAGTAAAGCCTCCGGCATCTTGACCGTGGATGGCTTTACGGATTCCGATTGGGCATGTTGCCTCAACACACGTAGGTCCAATGATTGCCGAGACACGAACTTTGAGCCGAGGGGCGCGGGATATCATGTTCATCAAACAACTTGGTGAAGAGGATTTTGGTTTCAAAATGGCCGTACCTCGTGTTTGGACCGATGCCAGCACCGCATTGCAAACAGCAAAGCGTTTGCGCGCAGGCTCCCGGATGCGTCACATCGATGTAGCTGCGCTGTACGTCCAAGAGTTGGTGTACCAAAAACAGTTGAACGTGGGCAAGGTATCTGGGACAGCAAACCTCCCCAATTGTCCCACAAAGCATTTGGATGCCAAATTGAAGGGCGAATGCTTTGAAGATTTAGGCATGGTTAGACATCACTAGTTCAGATTGGCAGCCGTTGATTGAAGCCGCTGAACAAATTGAACTCGTAGCAGCCTTGTTGTCCCAACGCCCAAAATCGAAGCGAACACACCGTGGAAACCAAATTTCGCAATCGCCGCTGATGCGCTCCAAATTTGCATCTTACAATCGTTGGCCGGAGTGTCCACAGCAAAGCCCCAGGTTACGACTTCACTCAGGCATTGCCTTGGAGTGATGGTATTCAAAACTCAGGCCCAGGCTTTGGAGTTGCGCGTTGTCCGTAGTGCAGGCGTGTGCAGTAAGTCCCAACCTTTAAGGGGCATGCGAGCGTTTGTAGAGGTTTCCAGGTCAAACAGGTAAAGGTTGTAACTTACAATTTTTTATGTTTCACACACGTCTTCTTCTCACCTAGTTCGTAGCTCAACATGTGCTACCGCAACGTTTCAGGATCTGTGTTAAAAGAGTGAACCCAATACGTCCCCCTATTGCGTCACCCCGCGCGCAGTGTCGCACGCTGAAATTGAGGTGAGAACTGCAGCATTACCAACCGTTTCCTAAATTTCGACCACGATGGGATGATCCAACTGCTGCGCCTTACACCTTCACTGGTGTGAAGTGGAAAATTGATGGCAGTTACGATGTTGGCTCATTTTATCAATGGCACAGGCAGCAATTGTAGCAGCAGGTGGATGGGCACAGTTGCCAGCTCCGCCACGTGCCACAAAATTGATGCATACATCCAAGGTGACGTATTACTGGTTTTGCCAGCATTCATCATCGCAGTGGTCATGTGGGTGGGCAGTTTTGTTTGACCAGAAGCAATCCCTAACAAAGCATGTCCGGCAAGCGAAACGATGTGCTTTAGCGCAGACCATTGCTGGTCAGAAACTTCACTTCCCAGACTTTCAAGTGCTCAGTCGCTGCATGCTGCAATCTTTTACGGTGCAGGATTGAACACTGGTGGAACGAATCCATTTCTCTCAATGCGCACATCGCTTTTTGTTGCCATCGTGATTGTGATTAGATGTGTGTTGCATTACACTGCGTCTGTGATATCCGTGTGCAAGTATCTGTGCTCGATTGTGGGTGATGTGTTCGCAACGAATCCAGCTGGCAGGCTTGATCTTGTGTTGACAGCTTCTTTTTTGGGAGATTCCGTAAGAAGACGGCTTCAGTTTCCAAGGGCTAAGGGAACGTACTTGTAGCCGCATGCAACATCATTGGAGACGCCATTATAATTCACTTTTAGGGCCTGCACTGCCGTAACCTATCCCCCGCATAGCTGATCCTGTTTATTTTTATGATCCTCCACCACGCGCTGCCCACCTGCAAGCCAAATTGCACGTCATGCCCCCCGTCTTTGTCAGAGCCATCCGGATTCTGAGTGCAAAACGTTGCGCGCAAATTGCGGCATAGTCATCCCAGATCCAAACCCCACAAAACCAGCCAGCACCCGCATAACCACCACCAGTCCGAACGACGTCAGAATTTAGCCCGGGCTTTTGCATGGGCTAAAGTTGGGTCATGAGGGGCTGCACCCTGTAAGATCCCTCTGTCAAGGATATGTAAGTCAGGATTAGGGTGGGCGGGCCTGGGCAAATCCTTTCGTCACACGCGCTACATAGGATATGCGGAAGTGGACACATTTCTAAATTGCAGGGTGGTATGTGAAAAATAACTGGAACAGAAAATGCCCTTGCCATTGAATTATGTCAGTTGATGCTATGGTTTATGTTTGGGATTTGGGATGAAGTCCGGCAACATTGGTAAAATATGATTCTCGGGAACTTGGGTTTATGGAGGTTGCTTCAAATTTCCCCGTTGCGCACCTGATCTTCTAAGAGCTAGGGTTTTCCTTTGTTGAAACTATTCTAGAAGATGTCGCGTAACATACAAGGAATAAGGTTCAGGACGGGAAACGCGTCGGGGGTAGGCCGACCCGGACCGGACGATATGATTGGATTGTGAGCAATGTTTTTTTGGGTTTGAAGAGGGCATCATATTCTTCAGGGCGGTCATTTTCATTCTGATGTTCGGAGTTTGCATGAAACCCAGAGCATTCAGAAAATCAAAATTGTGGAGTTGTACGTTTGGAAACCATCGCCGGGTTAAGATTGCCTGGGGGCACCTGACTTTGCTAAAGCCGTGTTTTTGAACATTGCCCTTTTTTGTCTTGGCATTGTCACCACCATCACCGCCATCTTCTTCTTCTTCATCATCATCATCATCATGACCATCACCACCACCATCGTCATCACCCTCATCACGATCACCATCACCATCACCATCACCGTTTTGTTCACCATCACCATCATTGAACCATCACCACCATCATCATGACCATCGTGATCATCGAACGGCGACATTTGTGTGAAGGCAAACGGTAATTGTAAAAATATATTTGCACCAAGTGTGTGTGACCAATGGGTCGATGGCATATCTTGCGTTCTTCCATGCCAGCAGGAATCAACATTTACATATTTTAAATATTACATATATTAAAATTTGGTAAGATCCATGTCTCGTCGGCGGGTAATTGGGAAACGGTATTTTGACAACGGGTGGGTTGTATTGATGCACTTGCTCGATTCTGTGCGTTTTTCGCCCGTCCGAAGCATCCCAATCTTTATGTGCAGTTGTTTCGGCCCGACCGGCCTGCATACGTCACTCATGCCACATGCGGTCGGGATCACGCTTGAACATGTTTGCTGACGGGATCCGCGGCGCTGTTTGTCCCAGATTTCGTATTAAATCATTGCTGGTGTGTGCATACCTTCCAATACTTTTGTTTAGTTGCGCATGGCGTAAACAATGAACGCATATTCACCTCCAACCATCTTCAACCACATCAAACACCGGCATTACTCAGAGGAACATGTGCTACCAAAGTTCCAGTAATATGACATGTTATTGCAGAAAATCAAGGAACCACTTGCCCGGCGGATGGCATCAAACCGTGTTGGTCTTACAGCCGCACTTTATGGCGTCTCGGCCCGCATTCTTGGAAGATATTGATGGGGCCTGATTCACATTGAAAACCGCTTCCACTTCAGAACTAGCCCGCGTTGACACAGGACGACGAAACAATCCCCAGCAACTCGCTGGGATCCGTCCTCAACAAGGGCTACGAAAGGCAGCCCGCAGGGTGGGACGCTGGGAAAAAAATTGCCACGGACATAGGGGATGTTCGCATTGGGTTTGATCATGCGCAGGCAATTCAAATCTTCACGGGTTCCGATTCGAATGATTATGACGGTCCTTATACATGCGGGTGGGATGACCGAAGATGCGAAGTAGCAGCCTGTGACGAAGAGCTCCGCAAGTGTGAAGGACAACCATGTGTTGTAACTTGGCACCCGTGAATCACGTTGTTTTTGATGTGTTTCCACGCAGAAGCAGGGCTGTGCCCAGCCAGGTTTTACACCCAGAGCGATGGAGGAGATATGTGTGTCAGACGACATCCGAATGGGTGCTTTGGCCATTGATTTGTGGCATGGCTGGCGTGTTTTGAGAAGATGTGCGCTATCCATACAAATTTTGCAAAATTATTTTTTTGGTGGACCGGGGGCATAATTTGTTTGTTCTTCTTCATCATTGTCCGCAGTCAAGCCGCGCAAGGGCGAATGCAATTGTTAATTTTTTTCGGGCTGTCACTTTGGTTCGGTCCACTGCTCAATCCGGTTGCCCATGGTCTGGTGTTCCAGCCTGCATGGCATGGTGGCGTTTTTGCCGCACAATGCCGTACAGAATACTTTTACAAGACAATGTCTGGTAGCATGCTTCAGGGGATTGGGTCAAAACATGGAAAAAATCAGTACCAAGTACCAACATGGGTTAAACAACAGAAGACGACCAAAAACCCCTTAGTAGTGCTTCCCAAAATTGAATTATAAGAAAATTTCAGATACATCCCCATATCTTATGATATTTCACGGCGAAAACATGATTTCTCGTGGACCCCTTAAAGCAATCTGTGAACATACGTAATTATTTAGGGATGTGGTTTGTTCCTGCCCCGAGGTTGTTTGTGATAAGTTTGGCACCATCGCATCCGCTGCTCGCGCCTGCAGCGCCCAAAGTCACACAGGCCGATGCTGTGAATTTGGCAAAGCGGAAGCGACGTCTGGTGTTTTCAAACATTCAAAGTGTGGGGCCTTCAAAATTATGAGAGCAAATCAAGCAAATCAAGCAAATCCACCATTTGCCCAACATCATCCAAAATATCTCAAATCATCAATGAATCATCCAAAAATCAACCAAGAATCATCCAGAACCATTCGTCAAATTCTTGAAGATCATCCGACATCATGCAACCCATCATTTCATTTTTGTTGTCATCGGATTGTGGCAGGGAAACCAATGGGTTTTCGATGGCAAAACCATCGCCAGGTGACCTTTGGAGCCGACCTGGCAGAGAATGAGGCGACAAAAAAAATGGTTTTGTCACATGGGATTATCACATTGCATGTAAAACATAGTATGTAATTAATGTACCTAAGGTGGTGCGAATTCAGGACTGCTTTGATTTTGAATTTGCCATGTGCCATGTGCTGAACATTGGGATCGTTGCGTGATTTGATGTCGTTTCTTTCCACCAAAACAAAATGAGTTGCATATATAGTGCCTGTATTGTGCCGTTTTTTGCGTGCCAAGTGGTGTGAGGCTTACGGCAAGCGCTGCCGGGCCGGGAGCCTGTTGATGTCTCTTTGTTTTGTTGCCAGGGGAAGTGGAAGCGCACATAGCGTTTTTGGCCATTGAAGACTCAAGGCAAACCCCCCAGTGGCTGTTCTGACAAACTTGCGGACTTTCCAAACCCAGCACTGCCCCCAATCGCCGACAAATTGTGAAAATTGATCCATGACATTGGTCATCATGTATGGGTGGCAAAAGCTCCAACCTGCCGGTTGCAGCAGTTTGCAGCACCGCAGGGAGGGCACATCATGGCATCCTGATCCCCACAAGAAAGGAAAATCAACCACCATTAAAGCTTACCAAATACAACTCAACAAACAACATAGAACAACTTAGTAACTATAGATGCATAAAATCTGGGTAGTTGCATTTTTCTCGAGAGCGTCTGAGCGAAGGGTTCTTCTAATAGTGGGGGTTTGTTATTACATCTTCACGTCTTCAAATCGTCACATCTGCACATCTTCACACATCTTCTCTCTCGTTCTCTCTTCTTCACATCTTCTCATTTTCTCATCTTCACATCTCACATCTGCACATCTTCACATTTTTTTTTTTTCTCTCTCTCTCTCTCTCTCCCTCTCCCTCTCTAGAGAGAGAAACGTAGAGAGAAGAGAAGCGGAGAAGGAGAGAGAAAGAGAGAGAGAGAGAGGAAAAAGGGAACGGGAAAGAGAAAGAGAAGGGAGAAGGAGAAGGAGACAAGGGAGAGAGAAAATGGAGAAAAAGAGAAAAGAGAATAAAGAGAAAAGAGGAAAGCGAAAACAGAGTCAACAAGCGAAAATAGAAGGACGAAAGGGAAAGAGAACAGAGGAAATCGAAGTACTCAGTGAGCCGGTATACACTAGACCGATACTATAGCTCCCTTACGTGAGAGGAGAGAAGGGGAGAAAGAGAGAGAGAGAAAGAAAGCGAGAGCACGGATACTATACATAGTCTTCTATTGCTTAGAGAGTTCGCGATGATTTGCGACTCTTTCTCTATCGTTCTCTCTCTTTTCTTCTCTTTCTCTCTCTTTCTCTCTCTTTCTCTCTCTTGCTCTCTCTTTCTCTCTCTTTCTCTCTCTTTCTCTCTCTTTCTCTCTCTCTTTCTCTCTCTTTCTCTCTCTTTCTCTCTCTTTCTCTCTCTTTCTCTCTTTTTCTCTCTCTCGTGCCCTCTTGCGCCCTCTTGCGCCCTCTTGCGCCCTCTTGCCCTCTTGCCCTCTGTCACGGCCTCTCTATTTTTTTCTTTTCTCTCTTAAGGCCGCGGGCGGTGCTGACGAGGCGCCACGAAATGGCAACCGTTTCGCACGAAATGAAGTTCGATCGTCAAAAACTGAGGCAAAATTGCGATTCTACATTCTCCGCAGAAACCCTTTCGCACGGAAAGAGGTTCGAGTGTCAAAAACTGAGATAAAATTATGTAAAATTGCGATTTTACATTCTCTGGGGCATGAGGTTCGAGTGTCAAAAACTGATGTTTTTTTGCGAGTTTGGTTGGTCCGGCGGCAACCCTTTTGCACGAAATGAGGTTCGAGTGCCAAAAGCTGAATGTTTTTGGCGAATTTGGTTGGTCCGGCGGAAACCGTTTCGCACGACCGATCGTTTTTTGCGACGAGGCTTAGAAGTCAGTGTGTGCCAAAGGGTCTGTGTGCAAAAGCTTCTGTGTGTAAAAGTGTCTGTGTGTAAACAACTTCTGTGTGTAAAAGCGTCTGTGTTAAAAAACTGTTGTGTGTAAAAGCTTCTGTGTGTAAAAGTGTCTGTGTGTAAAAGCTTCTGTGTGTAAAAACGTCTGTGTGTAAAAGTGTTTGTGTGTAAAAGCGTTTGTGTGTAAAAGCGTGTGTGTAAAAGCGTTCGTGTGTAAAAGCGTTCGTGTGTAAAAGCGTTCGTGTGTAAAAGCGTGTTGGTTTCTAAAAGTGTTTGTGCCTAGAAGTTGAGGAGGAGGAGGATGAGGAAGCGGAAGAGGAAGAGGATGAGGATGATGATGGTGATGATGATGATGAGGAGGAGGAGGAGGGGGAGGAGCAGGGGGAGGATGCGGATGAGGATGAGGAGGAGAATGAGGATGAGGAAGAGGATGAGGAGGAAGATGAGGATGATGGGGACGAGGATGAGGATGGTGATGATGGTGACGATGGTGACGATGGTGATGATGATGATGATGATGATGATGATGATGATGATGATGATGATGATGATGATGATGTGCGCGTGTGTGTGTGTGTGAAATCACACTTGTGTGTGACGCATGTTTGTATGTATCAGCATGCTTGTAAGTAAAATTGTCTGTCTCAATTCTTCTTCCTGTGTCTGCTTCATTTCATCTTTCGCTTCTTTCTCCTACAATTTCTTCATACGTACTTACTTTTCACAACATGTCTGCACCATGTCTCATCATTGACGTTTCATGCTATTAGATCTTCATATTTATACCTCTTACTATGCTCCTGTACGCTCTCGGGCCATCCGTCGTCTAATTCTCATTTTTTATTCAGGGCGGTGCCAACGTCGGCCTTCGGACCGTTCTGGCGGAGGTGAGTTCTGAGGCCCCCAAATGGGCAACGTGGGATCCACTTAAGAAAACCCGCGTGGGAAGCTTATGGGACCGGGGGTGCCATCATTATCATTGGGACCCTATAAATTCCATGATATTTATGAAACAAATACGCGCGAACTAAAAGGGTCAATTGGATATCATAAGTTCATAAATGGCTCCAGTTTCACCCCTGGTGCGGATGCAGGGACCCTCCTGTCGATTGGCAGGCAGAAAACTACAACATTTGCTGCCCCATTGAGGCAACCGATTGGTGATGGGTATCAACAGAAGTGGCGATACTGACCATAAAAAATAAAAAATCCATTTACACCTGGTAAACTTAAAATCATTATAACAGGGATGAGTGCCCAAACACGGGCATGTAACTGATATAATGGGATCACCTGGCTGGATAGGTCAAGCATCAAACACGGGAAAATAACACGAAAAAACATATGGGATAGGCAATTGGATCCTGACATTTGTTTTCCCACCTTGATGTGACATACATGACATGTTTTTTTTTTGTTGGGTGGTAGTGTGCCTAAGATGAGCCACGGGCACAGATGCTGGTTGGTTTTGATAAGAAGGAAACATGCAGACATAGTTCTGAATGGGGTTTCCTGTGCGGAAATTCACGTATGCAGAGAGCAGGGGGGATCCAGTTGCCGTAGGTTCGCACATGGTATTTCATTTGTTTTCCCGCGCCTTGGATCGAGGCCCGTTTGGTGGAATTGAACGCTTTGTTGCAGGAGGACTTCCGGGTCAACCAATTTGTTGGAGTCTGAAATTGGTGCGAATCATTCTGAGTGGTTGGAGGTTTGGAATGATGTTGATTTTTGGTTATTTGTTATAAATTAAAAGACACAAATGTACAATCTTAAGGCCAAACATATCATGATACACTTACATTCTTTTCATTAGCGACATCTCCCTCTTGCGGGTTTCATTTACATCCTAGGGGTCCCCAAAGTAGAAAATTAGGGACCTTATTTTGCCGGCGACTTGCTCTTGCTTTTAGATCCACAAGCACACCTACAGCTATACCTATACCAATATCAATTTATACATCTACATCCATATTTACACCGTATCTATATTTACATCATTTTACATCTACATCTATATTTATTTGCATTTGTATCAACATCTATATCAACACCTCTACGTTGAAAACTCACATACATGCGTGCTTAACCCACTATAAACGTAACTTATTTTCCTAGACCAGCCAGGTCTTCCACATCTTCCCTGGGGTAAACATATAAAAAGATACAGAACATCACCAATTTCGTAGCAAATTCATCCATGTTAGTAGGCCATTTTCCATCTTGAGGTTTCCAGAAATGGGGGTACCCCCAAATCATCAACTTCAAAAATTGATTTTCCATGAATCATCCAGCTACTGGGGTACCAGCATTTATGGAACCCCCCATGTCTATGACCGTCGTGGTTTTCCAGGACCCGCAGCTGCTGCAGCGGGCTCCCGAGGACGAGGGCTTCCTGGCGATTCTCCAAGCGCGTCGGCCGCAGGACCCGCAGAGACCCGCAGGGACCCGCAGGGCGGCGGTGTTTTGTGGATCGAACTATAGAAACATAGTGTATGTATATACATATATTATTATAAATAGAATCTTAGTGGTTTTTATAGAAACATGTTTTAAAAAATATTACTGGGCAATTGTATAATATAGGGTATACATCTTATTTTTTCTAGGTTGTTTGTTTTCGATTGATCTTGGTGGTGCGAATTTTGGACATGCGTTCAAACGTACCTACGTACAGAACAAAAAACAGAGAGTGCAGGTTTACTTCAGGGTTTTCACCATGGGTTCACTCAGGGTTGCACTAGACATGGTGCGTCACAAGGACACCCAGCGCATCCTTCAGAAACTGTTGGATGAATCCAGCCCGATGCCTCCAGCTGGTGAGCTGTGACGGGACCAGAACGGGATCTGCCGGGATCTTCCAGCAGTAAAAATGGGGTAATTTCCATGCGTTATAAATGCAGGCAAAAAATGGTATCGCGTCCATCATTGAAAGAGGCCTGTGATTTACCAAAAGCACAGGGAGCTGTAGTGATGAAACACGACGATGTGAATGGTTCTGCAGCTGCTTCGAATCTGGAGCTGTACCCCCAGAAGCATGGTTCTTCATGTTGCATTCATAAAGATACAATGTTACTGCAGCCAGCATTCCCGTGCGGAATTTCCACAAGGATTTTGGCTATGGCTGAACATCAGCACAACCGGATTTTGTTTCAAAACCCCCTTTGTTTCAGCAGGGATGGACATCCGAGGCTACTCATGTCTGCAGTCATCAGGAACTGCCTCAATCTGTAGGCCACTGGCGGGCCGGAAAGGGGGTCTCGGGGTCCGCTGGGGACCGCGAAGGTATCTGACTTCCACCCCACCAGCTTTTTGATGGCTAAGATATGCTTGCTTCCTTTGGTTTCCAGCCACTAGCTGTCATTTTTTGGGATGGGAATGACCTGAACTTTCAGTTGCGTCAATACCTATGATTGTGTACTATATCATATGAAATCGGTGGATTAAGATCCATTTGCCAGCGATCTATTGGTGCAAGCACGACGCTGCCAGGGCTTTTGAAGGTTTTTGATCCATAGCTATATGTTGAATAGCTAAGTCATCTATCAAGGGCTATTCTTTCACCATGACGCTGGAGGGCAAACTGTTTTTTTTGTACGCTGCTTCCATTTTACCCCTGTTCCCATGCCAAGTTGGCAACTTTCCATCACCCCTTCGCCGCCCTGGAAATGGCCACTCTACTTTGCCGTTGTGTTGGTTGACAGTTTCACATTGATTCCGGGACACTTTTGCCAGTTTCATTGCTCAAGTGTGATTGGGCTCCACGTTGACCGCAATGATATCGCAATGATACTACATGGGTGCGACACTGGTATAACTTCTATGCTGATGCGTTTGAAGACCCCGAATTTGCTTTGGTGTCCATAGCCTGGAAGGCTACCTTTCCACCCCGCATGCGTCAACGGAGGTCTGCAGCGGGACCTGCATGGGCGCCAGAAATGGCAGAAAAAAGGGATGTGTTCGGATGAACTGGGTAAGCTGCATCTAGGAAATTTGAGATGGAGGTTGAGGAAATGGTGTTGCAATATATATATATATGGATCCCAAATGATCCCAAATGATCCCAAATGATCCCAAAGTAATTACTCTGTGTTTGGGCCAACTCACGTCACGCACTCGGAATCGTTGCTTGGGGATGTGGGTCTTATGATAGGGCAAACATGGGATGGTCAGTACATCGTCAGCACTACAAAAACATCACCTCCATTTGTGGGGTCCATAATAGTGACCTTGACCCATATGGATCAAGCTGCTATCCACTTGAGAAGCAGGCCTCTTAGATATTCTTAGATGAGCCAATGGGATAGCAACAAGATCGATGATATTCAATTACCGGTATTTGTTTCCTATCCCCAGGCTGCCCAGGGATTGAAGGTCGACTTCCGAAGTTTGGCCCAAACCCATTGGTCCACCCAAGCCTTGGCCTGTGTTTTGCGCAGCCCCTTGGGCCCTTGGCCGGACGTTGTGTGACGTTTTGTGGCTATGAGCTATCACCCTCCGGCCAAGCAAGCAATTGAACTTGAATTCTCCCGAATTGAATTTGGATTACACATAATCTCCACAAGAGGCGTTTAGGCTGGGATGATGTGGCACAGGTAGCCAGCGCATTTTTTCATGTAGAGGTACGGGTAGCCAGCGCGACCTGCCACGTTGGAGTCCAGCTTTTTGTTGGGTTGGTGCATGGGAGAACATGCAGGAAACCATGGCTTTCTTTTACAGCAGATAACCAGAAATGGTATCGTGAATCCATGGGCGATTCCAAAGACAAAAAGGTGTCCCCAAACACCTGCAGTGCTGTTTTTTTTGGACATGTGACCGGCCCTTCCAGCAACATGATCCATACATGTTCCAATATGACATCTCAAAGTTCGCAAAATCGAGGAAATTCTATGAAATTCTCTAATAAAGCCTTTCCCCCCTGATATTCAACACTCCCCAGAAACCACGGTTTAATAGGGAATGGTGTTGCCTAAAATCATCAGCTGGCCGCTCCTCCTCCTCGTGCATGCCCAGATGCATGGAGTAAAGATATGAAGTGCGCCCTGCGAAGCGATCGTGGGCCACAGGTGCGCTGAGTGCTCTCAGCTGATCCTCCGAACCGCCAAAAATGCAAAAACACATGCACAAAAGACATATAAGACATGAGTTATGAGAGAAAAATCTTCCAGACACGGTTTGTTTCCGTTGCTAACGTTAGCTTTCAGGGGGTAGAACGACAGATTTTCCCAGTGATCTTGACCATGTTTCATCCCTGGGCCTTGCAGGAGAGACATCGTTAGTTGTTCCCATGTGGTTCGTTGTGCTGACTTCTGTCGTCAGCTCAGGGCTGTTTGGGCTTTTCATGCGGATTGTTTTTTTTTTGCCGGTTGGCATAGTCCATTTGGATGATACGTCTTTACAATCTTTGTGGGTCTCTCTCTCTCTCTCTGTGTCTACATGCATGTCATTTATACATATATTCTCAACCTTCGCACGCATATATCGGCAATGATTAGCGTGTATGTGACTATTTGAATGAAATCTCCCCATGATTGTTTGTGGTTCCGTCTATCAATTTTTCCACTTTCCCACATGGATAGGTTATCACGAAAGCCCTCTTGTCTTAGCAAGATATCGGGGGCTGGAATCTCCAATCGCATGAAACATATGAAACTTCATAGTTAACTACCACCCCCTCTGGCTGGCTTGGCCGTGGCTCAATCCCTTGCGGGGACTCCGTCGGCATTTTTTCCCACTGGCACCACATTCGGCAGCATCAGCATCCTCAGCATCATTGTGTTTTCATGCAAAGCTCCCTGCCAAGCTAGCTTTCGTCCCTTACCCCGGGCCTCAAGTTTTATCAAGATCCAAGGATCATTTAGCAACATTTTTCATCTGGCAATCATTTATCTACATGCCCATCCATATAATCTAACCTAACTGAATCCAACCTAACCCAACCTGAGCTAAGCTAATCTAATCCAGCCTATATTTCTATCTAGAGATAGCAGCCCCCCCAATACAAAAGTCTCAATTCCTACTTATTAGTGAACATAGGAGCAGTTGTGGTTTACCTATATATTTTATTTCCATCAGGATTTAACCTTTATTTCAATCCTGAAAAGAATTAGTGATTTTATCGACATGTCATAATTTTATCTATCAGGAGTTCATTGGATTATCATGATTGATTTTAAAAAACATGTCACAGGTTTAATCTACATTTCATCGATTTCATTGGTTTTACCCTCTGGTTATGACTAGCAGTTCGCCATGGAAGCCATGACCCATAGAAATAGATACTTTACGGTTCTTAAAAATGGTGGATCTTTCCATGGCAAACTGTTAGTCATAACCAGATGGTACATCAATATACCATACCTTATTAAGGTAAACCATCGAACCAAATGGGTAAACCATCTATAAATGGGTATACCAGATGGTACATCAATATACCAAATGGGTAAACCATCTATAAATGGGCCATTTTCCATGGCAAACTGTTAAATAACCAGATGGTAAAACCAATTTTTTCCATCAGAAACTTCTCGATCCCACCAAGGCAGTGGGCCTTTGTGGCACTTCGCACCCCTCAAGGTGGGGGAGCCCCGCGAAACCAGAAGATTTTGGTATCTTCAGTGGGAGATGTGATGCGGATATCTCCAACAAATGGGATATCATTGTGACATAATATAGGTATATATATATATACAATTATATACATATATTATCTATATCTTATTTATCTATATTTATATATATATATATAATCACATATATATATTATATATTATATATATTATATGTATATATGGAGGGATATGGATATCTCCAACAAAGAAAAATATATAATTATGATATCATGGATATTTCCAAGAATTCTGGGTAAATTTCATCCCGACTTCATGTCGCGACCGAAGCCTGGAATGATGGTGAATTGTAGGGGTATGATGGTTAATTATTTAACTTTACCCAGAACAATTGGGATATCATTATGATATCATGGATATCTCCAACAAAAAAGAGATGGATGATCGAACGAACGAAATCGGGTAGATTGAATTCAGTAGAATTGACATAAGATTGCAGGATGACCAGGAGTGGGCTGGGCATGCCCCAAATTGCACCCGAAAATTTGCAACATCAGTGATGACCAAGTCACTTATAAAGGGCAATATCATCGTGCCCAAACCAACACTAGCATTTTGCAATATGGTCAGCAGCTTGTCAAGCGCCGAATCCTTGAAAGCGTGCCATGTTGAGCCAAAAACTGGCCCTTCTGAAAGAAGCACAGGAGATTTCGGTGGGGCACGAGTAGAAACAACACTGAGTCAGTTGAAAGTGGAACCTCCAGCTCACTAGTGTACCTTCTGAATGGTCAGCCACGCCTCTGACATTCAACATGGCACCCAAAACAGCAACCTCTGATGTAGCATAGTAAAATCCCACAGGCACCCGCAACAACCCACATCAGCGCCCAAAACTGTCCAAGAGCCCCAGGCAGCGAACTGGCGGCCAAACATCAAGAGAAGCAAGCGTACACACACACACACACAAATGGTTTCTTTGCTACCTCAAATAGGAATGGTTTGGATTGAAAAAGTCGTAAGCCCGTCTGTGTTCCCAAGGTGCCTTTCTGATCCACAATGTCAACACCGGAATATTGTAACAAACTCTGGTCGGTTCTTAGGGCAGTGCCGCAAAAGAGTGAATTATCCCCAATGATCAACCCCCACAACTTGGGGATGGTTCATCATTGTAGATTTTGCGACTGGTAACCCCATATCAATCAGCCAGGACTTTCCCAGTCCCGGTTTCACAGAGCCACTTTCTTCTGCCGCCATGCGTGCGCTGCATCGCACCGCGAAACGCGCGGCGACAACGCCATGGCGCTGTCAGCGGCGGTGTTTGGCCTCCACGATACCGCAGGAAGTGGTCATCGCCAGTGTAGCGAGGACGCCGATTGGAGCCTTCTGTGGAGGAGCTGAGCGGCTTCGCCCCATTGCCCAGCAATCCCCGTGTCGACTTGGAACTCAACAGAAGTGTCAAACCTCCAGGATGAAATGGCCCCCACGCTAACCTCCAAAACCTATTCAAATCATATCAAGCATATATTCTTATCCAATGGATGAATATCTCATGTCTACAATCTAGTGATTACAGTCTAAACTTACCCATCACCTGGCGATCTACCTAATTATCATCTTCCAACCAATCTATCCATCGATAATCTTTATTGTCCATCCTTGTCAATCTATATCTGTAAATATCTCTAACCCTAACCTTATTTCCATCTGGTCCAATATCAGCCTCAATTTATGTAAATCCAAACTAGATATACTTCAATTGATGCCAATCTATACATATCTACATATACCGATAGCCTATATATATATACATATTTCCCCACCTGCCAGGTGAGGGTTGTTAGATTTTATGTCAGTTGCCTCCTCCTCCTTCTCCTCCTCCTCCTTCTCCTCCTCCTCCGCCTCCTCCTGCCTCGTCCTCCTCTCCTCCTCCTCCTCGTCCTCCTCGTCGTCCTCGTCGTCCTCATCGTCCTCGTCGTCCTTGCTCAACTGCGACCCGCGATCCACAGTGTTCTCTGCCGGACCTCAACCACGACCATCCACGCCCAGTGTTCCCTGCCGGACCTCAACCACGACCATCCACGCCCAATGTTCCCTGCCGGACCCCAACCACGACCATCCTCGCCCAGTGTTCCCTGCCGGACCTCAACCACGACCATCCACGCCCAGTGTTCCCTGCCGGACCTCAACCACGACCATCCGCGCCCAATGTTCCCTGCCGGACCTCATGTAGGAAGATATGGGACAAAGAATGTGCAGAAGAAAGTTAGAAAGAATGTCAGAAAGAATGTCAGAAGATATGCCAGAAGATATGCCAGATAGAATGCCAGATAGAATGCCAGATAATATGCCAGAAGATATGCCAGATAGAATGCCAGATAGAATGCCAGAAGATTTGCCGGATAGAATGCCAGAAAATATGCCAGAAGATATGCCAGATAGATATGTCAGAAGATATGCCAGAAGATATGCCAGAAGATATGCCAGAAGATATGTCAGAATATATGCCAGAAGATATGTCAGATAGAATGCCAGAAGATATGTCAGAATATATGCCAGAAGATATGCCAGATAGAATGCCAGAAGATATGGCAGATAGAGTGCCAGAAGATATGCCAGATAGAATGCCAGAAGATTTGCCAGATAGAATGCCAGAAGATATGCCAGATCATATGCCAGAATATATGCCAGATAGAATGTCAAATAGAATGTCAGAAGATATGTCAGATAGAATGCCAGAAGATTTGCCAGTAAGAAAATGTATAAATGTCATGGTGGGGATCACACGAAGTAAAGTAATTCTCTCTCTCTCTCTATATATATAAATGTGTATGAAAATACACACACACATATATATATATACATGTAACTACATATAGATCTACACCCGCACACACACACAATTTCCATCTGTGTCATCGCATCTATATCTATACCTTATCTACATCTATCTATTCTCATCGTGAATTTTCAAAAAGATTCCACCTTAGTGAGTTATGCTTGAGGCTCCCATATTCTATCCACTCCAGGATGGCTATATTTCCATCCCCCCAATATTAAACATCACCAGTTTCGTCCCAACTATGCATAGGATGTGTAACTCATTTTTGCTGGATGGGATTATATATCCAGAACAGGCCACTGTGGGAGTGCGCAAATTGCAGCATTTCCTGTGCAAAGATCCAACAGCATATGGCGCAACCGGACAAAATTGAATTCCATTCCTCTCTGCTGTTCATTGGCTGAATGCACTATGTCATAGCAAACATTGCTGTACTGTAGTGTATCGACCTTGCTTCTAGTGCAACCACTGACAGTGCCTGGCAATCTCTGCTTGGCACATCTGCAATGGCTATCCAAACCAAAAAACCAAAAAACAAAAAAACCAAAAAACCAAAAAACCAAAAAACCAAAAAAAACAAAAAAACAAAAAAGACAAGACCCAACACTCTGCATCTGACCCCCTCCCCTTGGGGTGTGCAATCTTGTTTTTTTTGTTTTTTTTTGTTTTTTGTTTTTTTGGTTTCTTGTTTTTTTGTTTTTTTGGTTTTTCCATGGTTTTTTGCAGTTTGGCCAAAACCTCGAGAACACACAAAAAAAAAACAAAAAGTTCAGACCCATGGGCAAGGTCTGAGCTATCCACACACAAACCAAAAAACCAAAAAAACAAAAAACCAAGAAACCAAAAAACCAAGAAACCAAAAAACCAAAAAACCAAAAAACCAAAACACCAAAAAAACCAAAAAAACCAAGATTGCACACCCCAAGGGGAGGGGGTCAGATGCAGAGTGTTGGGTCTTGTCTTTTTTTTTGTGGTTTTTTGGTTTTTTGTTTTTTTGTTTTTTTGTTTTTTTGGTTTGTGTGTGGATAGCCCAGACCTTGCCCATGGGTCTGAACTTTTTGTTTTTTTTTTGTTTTTTTTTTGTGTTCTTGAGGTTTTGGCTAAACTGCAAAAAACCATGGAAAAACAAAAAAAAACAAAAAGTTCAGACCCATGTCCCCTGCCAGGCCTCTCCCCAGACCTTGCCCATGGGTCTGAACTTTTTTTTTTCATTGTTGTTTTGAATGTTTTTCATGTGAAGATGCTTTCATCACAGTACCTCTCAAAAAAATGCGCGTCTCTACACTTTGCACACCTGCGCCCCCCAGGCCAAACTGCAAAAAAATCCATGGAAAAACCAAAATTCATTTAATGACTTATATAATGACCAATATAATGATTAATATAATGATTAATGCAATGACTTATTTTTTCATGAATATAATGACTAATATAATGATTAATATAATGATTAATAACATGATTAATAAGGTGATCAATATCATGATTAATATAATGATTAATATAATGATTAATTTAATGATTATTAAAATGAAGAATTTAATGATTAATATCATGATTATTATCATGATTCATATAATGATTAATGTAATGGTTCATATAATGCCTAATGCAATGACTAATATAATTAATATAATGATTAATATAATGATTCATATAATGATAAATATAATGATTCATTTCATGATTCATTTAATGACGTTTAGAATGACTAATATAATGATTAATAAAATGATTAATGTAATGATTTATGTAATGGCTGAAATAACTATTCATTCATTGGCTAACATAATGATTAATATCATGATTCATAGAATGATAAATATAATGATGAATATAATGATTCATTTAATGATAGATAGAATTATTCATTTCATGATTCATTTAATGACTTTTATAATGACTAGTATCATGATTATATTTAAAGAATGATTAATATAATGATTACTACTATGATGAATACAATGATTAATATCATGAGTAAAATACTGACTAATTTAATGAGTTTATATATAATGAGTAGTGTAATGATTAATAAAATGATTAATATAATGATTAATATAATGATTCATTTAATGACTAATATAATGATAAATGCAATGGCTAATATAATGAATGTTATAGTGATTAGTATAATGATTGATATAATGATTAATATACTGATTAATATAATGATTGAAAAAATCATATAATGACTAATTTAATGATCAATATAACGATTCATAAAATGATCAACATCATGATTATTAAAATGATTAATATAATGATTAATTTAATGATTATTTAAATGAAGAATTTAATGATTAATATCATGATTATTATCATGATTCATATAATGATTAATGTAATGGTTCATATAATGCCTAATGCAATGACTAATATAATTAATATAATGATTAAAATAATGATTCATATAATGATAGATATAATGATTCATTTCATGATTCATTTAATGGCTTTTATAATGACAAAGATAATGATTAATATAATGATTTTTGTAATGGCTGATATACTTGTTAATTTGTTGACTAATATAATGATTAATATAATGATATATATAATGACTAATATAATGATTAATAAAATGTTTAATATAGTGAATTATATAATGACTGATATAATGATGATTCATTTAATGATTAATTTAATGATTACTTTAATGATTCATATAATGATAAATATAATGATTCATATAATGATAAAAATAATGATTCATTTAATGACTTATATAATGACTAATATAATGACTAATATAATGATTAATGTAATGACTGCATGGAAAAAAGTGCACTCCCACAGCGGCCAGCTCTCTATATATATACGCATAATTTCCAGATCATCCCCAAGTAGGAAAGGAAAAAATCCGTTCAAAATAATGACGCATCACTTTTTCAGTAATTTCCTGTGGAGTTCCAGTGGGATCCTCACAAAATCCCATTGACATATTCATCAAATCCCATTGAAATCCCATTGACATATTCATCAAATCCCACTGAAGCCCCATTGAATTTCATTGAATTCCTTATTCAATCCTATTGAAATCCTTTTGAACTCCCATGAAATCACCATTTTTCCATAGGAATTCCAGGTCTGCCCCACCAACTGCGCCAGGACTGGCGCAGGTCTCTGCGCCGAAACTGGCCTCCTTCGCCCTGGGCGCCGCCATGCGCCGCGCCGGGCTGGAGCCGCAGGAGGTGGAGATGGTGGTCCTGGGCCATGCGCTGCCGGCAGGCGAAATCAGCAGACCAAGGGAGAAAAACCAACCAGATATTGGTAGATAATTATGTAGCAATTATGATCATAATTATGGAGGGAATATAACAGTGATATATATAGATATAAATATATATCTTGTTGGTGGTTTGGAACATTTTCTATTGTTCCATTTATTGAGAAGAATAATTCCAACTGACTAATATATTTTCAGAGTGGTTGAAACCACCAACCAGATTATGATCATGTATATAATTATAGCTCCACTTCCTTAGAAGGTTATGTTACAATAGTATCATGGTGGATGCTTACTGTACTGGTTATTATTCAGTGAATTAGATGGTTATTAACAGATGGATTCTCATAGTGAATTATGGGCTATTATACGGCTTATTACAATACCTTAAAACCGTTCGCATCTGACGCGCAGCTGGGTGATGGGAAGAACAAAAAGGTTATCAACTATGGGCTCTTATGGTTATTTCAAACATAAATGACTCAGGCAGCTAGCATTGATATCAGGTTATATTCATGTTGCATTATATCACCGTTCAGGCAATCAAGCAAGGGTGGCTTGCTGGCCAACCATTTAGTTCAATGATTTTCGCAGCGAACAAAACCTCCATTTAGTTCGCGGAGTTTCCAGCCGGCCACGGTTGATGACGCCAGAAGGTATGTTACAGTTCTAGTACTCACGCAAGCTGGTTGGCCGCTTTTCCTGCAGATTGACTTTTGTGCGACGTTGGAAAGTCTTAGAGTGGATATGATGGGATCCCATAGTAATAATATATGGATAAAACAGGATATCATGGTAGATATCATAAGAAATGTGCCGGATATGTATGGGATTGTGTGAAAACCATCTGCGATTCAAACGGCAAAAATCGCCGTTTTCACAATGAACACCATGTAAGTCCCCCAAGTGTCCCCCAAGGTATCATATGCGCCATGGTCACTGTTGCACGGTTTATTTTCCCAAAAAAAGGGTTTGTCATTTACAGGAGTAACCAATACTGTACAAGGAATCCCTGATGATGGTGGGGGTGACCATACCGCATATACCATGTTTTGGCCATGGCACACATGGGATTCAAATGATGGAAAGGGTGATGTGTTCACAATTGAACATGTAGATTTAACTATATTGATTGTTGATTTGATAAACAAGGGGTTTAACCATAGAAAGCATAGGGCTTAATCATTCAAAGGTAATGATTTGACCATTAAGAAGTGAGGATTAAATCATCGAACTTGGATTTGTTAACAGCAGCAAACAATACGAAGCGGGGGTCATGGCAAAAACCGTCAGAACATGAGTGGAACATTGAAATTTCGACTCGTGATCGCCAGTTGGAGGGGGGGTATAAGAGCAACCCAAAACAAACATTGGGGTAGTTGATTCCTTTTCCAAAATGAATGGTTGGACATCCAGCTATACCACAGCTATTTGCTGGCATTCAAAAATGTTTTGATCCATCTAACCATCTCACGGTTCGCAGCGCCGTCCTTTTTTGGACGGTCCATTGCTGGCCAGGTTGCGGCGCCAACAGCGCGCGGCAGGCGGCGTTATTGGCGGAGGTGCCAGCAACGGTGGACTGCTTCGGCGTGAACAAAGGCTGCGCCTCGGGAATGAAGGCCCTGACGCTGGCGGCGCAAGCCATCGCGATGGGACAGGCCAGCTGTGTGGAAACCGCCGTTGGAGGGAAGTTGGAGCCAGGGCTTGGGGGAGCGTCATGGATCCAAATGGATTATATAGTCATGTAGACATGTACTATAATATATTTATTTATTTATTGGTTTATTTATTTATTTGTTTATTTATTTATTTATTATTTATTTATTTATTATTTATTTATTAATTATTTATTTATTTATTTAGTATTTATTTATTATTTATTTATTTATTATTTATTTATTTATTATTTATTTATTATTTATTTATTTATTTTTTTATTTATTGATTATTTATTTATTGATTATTTATTTATTTATTATTTATTTATTTATTATTTATTTATTTATTATTTATTTATTATTTATTTATTATTTGTTTATTTATTATTTATTTATTATTTATTTATTTTTTTTATTTTTTTTTGATTTTTCTTTTTTTTATTTTTTTAATTATTTATTTATTGTTTATTTTTTTTTATTTATTATTTATTATTTATTTATTTTTTTTTAATTTTTTTTATTTATTTATTTATTTTTATTTTTTTTTATTTTTTCTTTATGCATTTATTTATTTATATCTATATATATATATACAGATGTATATTTATCACCAGTATCTTAGGATTTCCATGGCATGGCATGGCATACCATAGATTAGCATCTACCTTGGCGCATGCAGTTTGTGGATCGGGGGAGCCAAGGTGGGATAGAAGATGTAAGGTGAGGAAATTAGGATCACGTGGCAAGGTAGGTAGGATTTTCTGGAACGCACGTCACTTCTGTAAGGTTTGGAATGAGACAATGACAATGACACATAGCTAAGTGGAGGATGGGAATGGGGGGCACGAGATGCGGGAGGAACCGCCTTAACCGCCTTCAGGTTTATGTAGTCCAGAAAGACTATCACCGAATTCATTGTCGGCTGGTAACTCGCATGGCTGGCCATGGCATGCGAGGTTGCCAGAGGGCAGCCTTTACGAAAGTACGTGCTCTTCGCTGAATTTGAAGGCATTCCCGATCCACAACTCACATTCAAAATTTAAAATGTTCAAAACCCATGTTGATTGATGAATTAGTTCCGGGATGTTCCAGGTTTTTACATTTTTTAAAACTATCCTTTATATATTGGGAATAGTATGGAATTGTCACAATCCATGAGGAATCAGCGGCAGGTGGATGTGGCCCTTGCAGGCGGCATGGAAAGCATGTCGCAAGTGCCCTACTTTCTGCGTCACGCACGGCGCGGGGGATACCACTATGGCCATGGCACCTCGGATCCACTATGGCCATTGGCAATGGAAAAGACACTCTTCTGATGTTTGTTTCATTGTGTACTTACTGATTATGACTATTTCCTGCATCTCTTGGTCATGAAACATCAGTTGAGGACTAATTTGAGATAGTCGTATCTTTATTGAGATTTGGATATCCCCATCTTGTAGTCTTGTAGGTCGTCGTTTTCCCCGAGAGCGTCTGAGCGCAGGGTTCTTCCAATAGTGGGGGTCTGTATCTCATCTTCTCATCTTCACACCTTCTCATCTTCACACCTTCTCATCTTCACACCTTCTCATCTTCACACCTTCTCATTTTCACACCTTCTCTCACACCTTCTCATTTTCACATCTGCTCATCTTCACATCTTCTCTCACATCTGCTCTCACATCTGCACATCTGCACATCTGCTCATCTTCACATCTTCTCTCACATCTGGTCATCTTCACATCTGCTCATCTTCACATCTTCTCTCACATCTGCTCATCGTCACATCTGCTCATCTTCATATCTTCTCTCACATCTGCTCATCTTCATATCTTCTCTCACATCTTCTCTCACATCTGCTCATCTTCACATCTGCTCATCTTCACATCTTCTCTCAGATCTTCTCTCACATCTCCTCTCACATCTTCTCTCACATCTGCGCATCTTCACATCTGCTCATCTTCACATCTCCTCTCACATCTCCTCTCACATCTTCTCTCACATCTGCTCATCTTCACATCTGCTCATCTTCACATCTTCTCTCACATCTGCCCATCTTCACATCTGCTCATCTTCACATCTGCTCATCTTCACACCTTCTCTCACATCTTCTCACCTTCACATCTTCTCTCCTTTCTCTCTCCTTTTTCTCTCTCTCGCCTTCTTTATCTTTCTCTCTTTAGGCCGAGGGTGGTGCCGGCGGAGAGTCACGAAACGTCAACCCTTTCGCACGAAATGAGGGTCGATCGGCAAAAACTGAGGTAAAAGTGCGATTTTACTTGTGCTAAAGCAACCCTTTCGCACGAAATGAGGGTCGATCGGCAAAAACTGAGGTAAAATTGCGATTTGACTTGTGCCGGAGCAACCCTTTCGCACGAAATGAGGGTCGATCGGCAAAAACTGAGGTAAAAGTGCGATTATACTTGTCCCGGAGCAACTCTTTCGTGCGAATGAGGGTCGATCGGCAAAAACTGAGGTAAAAGTGCGATTTTACTTGTGCCGGAGCAACCCTTTCGCACGAAATGAGGGTCGATCGGCAAAAACTGAGGTAAAATTGCGATTTTAGTTGTCCCGGAGCAACCGTTTCGCACGAAATGAGGGTCGATCGGCAAAAACTGAGGTAAAATTGCGATTTTACTTGTGCCGTTCTTGTCTGTGTGTAAAAGCGCCTGTGTGTAAAAAGTGTCTGTGTGTAAAAGTCTCTGTGTGTAAAAGCGTCTGTGTGTAAAAGCGTCTGTGTGTCAAAGCGTCTGTGTGTAAAAGCGTCTGTGTGTAAAAGTGTTTGTGTGTAAAAGTGTTTGTGTAAAAGTGTTTGTGTAAAAGCCTCTGTGTGTAAATGTGTTTGTGTGTGAAAGCGTCTGTGCGTAAAAAGCGTCTGTGTGTAAAAAGCGTCCGTGTGTAAAAGCGTCTGTGTGTCAAAGCGTTTGTGTGTAAAAGCATCTGTGTGTAAAAGTGTTTGTATGTAAAAGCTTCTGTGTGTAAAAGTGTTTGTGTAAAAGTGTTTGTGTAAAAGCTTCTGTGTGTAAAAGCTTTGTGTGTAAAAGCGTCTGTGTGTAGAAAGCGTCTGTTTGTAAAAGTGTTTGCGATGCAAACTATTGTCTTGCACTTCTCACTATCCTGTCTTGATACTCCTCTTCTCGACTGCCTATAACAGAGCTTTCATATATCGTTTCTAATTCCCGAGAGCGTCTGAGCGCAGGGTTCTTCCAATAGTGGGGGTCTGTATCTCATCTTCTCATCTTCACACCTTCTCATCTTCACACCTTCTCTCACACCTTCTCATTTTCACATCTGCTCATCTTCACATCTTCTCTCACATCTGCTCTCACATCTGCTCTCACATCTGCTCATCTTCACATCTTCTCTCACATCTGCTCTCTCATCTGCTCATCTTCACATCTTCTCTCACATCTTCTCTCACATCTGCTCATCTTCACATCTGCTCATCTTCACATCTGCTCATCTTCACATCTGCTCATCTTCACATCTGCTCATCTTCACATCTTCTCTCACATCTGCTCATCTTCACATCTGCTCATCTTCATATCTTCTCTCACATCTTCTCTCACATCTTCTCTCACATCTTCTCTCATCTGCTCATCTTTCTTCATATCTTCTCTCACATCTTCTCTCACATCTGCTCATCTTCACATCTGCTCATCTTCACATTTGCTCATCTTCACATCTGCTCATCTTCACATCTTCTCTCACATATTCTCTCACATCTTCTCTCACATCTGCTCATCTTCACATCTTCTCTCACATCTGCTCATCTTCACATCTGCTCATCTTCACATCTTCTCTCACATCTGCTCATCTTCACATCTGCTCATCTTCACACCTGCTCATCTTCACATCTGCTCATCTTCACATCTGCTCATCTTCACATCTGCTCATCTTCACATCTTCTCTCACATCTCTCTCCTTTTTCTCTCTCTCGCCTTCTTTTTATCTTTCTCTCTTAAGGCCGAGGGTGGTGCCGGCGGCGAGTCACGAAACGTCAACCCTTTCGCACGAAATGAGGGTCGATCGGCAAAAACTGAGGTAAAATTGCGATTTGACTTGTGCCGGAGCAACCCTTTCGCACGAAATGAGGGTCGATCGTCAAAAACTGAGGAAAAATTGCGATTTTACTTGTCCCCGAGCAACCTTTTCGCACGAAATGAGGGTCGATCGTCAAAAACTGAGGAAAAATTGCGATTTTACTTGTGCCGGAGCAACCCTTTCGCACGAAATGAGGGTCGATCGTCAAAAACTGAGGAAAAATTGCGATTTTACTTGTGCCGGAGCAACCCTTTCGCACGAAATGAGGGTCGATCGTCAAAAACTGAGGAAAAATTGCGAATTTACTTGTGCCGGAGCAACCCTTTCGCACGAAATGAGGGTCGATCGTCAAAAACTGAGGGAAAATTGCGAATTTACTTGTGCCGGAGCAACCCTTTCGCACGAAATGAGGGTCGATCGTCAAAAACTGAGGAAAAATTGCGATTTTACTTGTGCTAAAACAACCCTTTCGCACGAAATGAGGGTCGATCGTCAAAAACTGAGGAAAAATTGCGATTTTACTTGTGTGTAAAAGCGTCTGTGTGTAAAAGCGTCTGTGTGTAAAAGCGTCTGTGTGTAAAAGCGTCTGTGTGTAAAGGAGTCTGTGTGTAAAAGCGTCTGTGTGTAAAAGGGTCTGTGTGTAAAAGCGTCTGTGTGTAAAATCGTCTGTGTGTAAAAGCGTCTGTGTGTAAAAGCGTCTGTGTGTAAAAGCGTCTGTGTGTAAAAGCGTCTGTGTGTAAAAGCGTCTGTGTGTAAAAGTGTTTGTGTGTAAAAGTGTTTGTGTAAAAGCGTTTGTGTGTAAAAGCCTCTGTGTGTAAATGTGTTTGTGTGTCAAAGCGTCTGTGTGTAAAAAGCGTCTGTGTGTCAAAAGCGTCTGTGTGTAAAAGTGTCTGTGTGTAAAGGCGTCTGTGTGTAAAAGGTCTTTGTGTAAAAGCGTCTGTGTGTAAAAGCGTCTGTGTGTCAAAGCGTTTGTGTGTAAAAGCGTCTGTGTGTAAAAGCGTCAGTATGTAAAAGCTTCTGTGTGTAAAAGCTTCTGTGGGTAAAAGCTTTGTGTGTAAAAGCGTCAGTGTAAAAGCGTCTGTTTGTAAAAGTGTTTGCGATGCAAACTATTGTTTTGCACTTCTCACTATCCTGTCTTGATACTCCTCTTCTCGACTGCCTATAACACATCTTTCATATATCGTTTCTAATATTGCGTCTCCATACTAACAAGCGAAGACCCTGCTCCTCTACGCTCTCGGGCCATCCGTCGTCTAGTTTCAACTATATATATATATAACATTATGTAAGAGTGGATAAAAACCGGGGAGTCCAAAGGACAATATACAAATTGGCATTTACGGTATGGAACCATCCAATTTCGGGGTCAGTCATAAAACTAATTTTGACGTAAAGGCATGTGGTGTCAACCGCTGCCATCCTCAGGGACCTTAGAAGATGCTGCTGTGGTAGACGGCTTATGGGACAGCAGCAGCGATTGTCATCTTTCTGCCTGCGTGGAAGAGACCATGGAGGAGCCAAGATGGACGGTTTTGGTGGTCGAAAAGGGGGTCGACCCAGCAAAATGTGTCTGAAAATCGAATAATTATCCGAAATTCCAGTAGATTGCCCCCATTTTCCCATTCAAACTTGACATTCTTTTTATCCCCCTCTTACTTGAGACAAACTAATTCGTGTAGGATATATGTATCTATAGTCACACACACAAATACCCATAATGATGATAAAATAATAATCATAGAATAAAAACATTGCATACTATTTATACCCACACGCATACCAATATGTATATCTATATCTTTATCTATATATCTAATATCTAACATCTAACATCTAATATCTAACATCTAATATCTAATATGTAACATCTAACATCTAATGTCTATATCTGATGTGTCCCTATAAATTTCACCATTCCCTTGGAACCTCAAGGAGTTGGCCTTGGACCGCGGTGCCTGCGACCGCTACGCCTTGAAGAGCTACCGCCGAGCCTGCGAGGCCTGGCAGCGGGGCGCCTTCGATTTGGAGGTGGCGCCCTTGCGGGTGAAGAATCCACGCGCGCAGCGCCTTGGTCGAGCCCCTGGCGACCTTACACATGTTCGGTAATGATTGGGAAACCCAATTATAAGAAACCTACATACCATTTGGGGATGGCTTTACCACCCATATGGTGATTTTGGCAATGGTTTACTGGTTGGTGGTTTGGAACATGACTTTTATTTTCTATAATATATGGGATGTCATCCTTCCCATTGACTAATACTTTTCAGAAGGGAACCAGTATAAGTGGATATAAATCCATTGGAAGACGATATAAACCCGTTTAATTAGTTGATATCCATTGAAAGATGATAAATGCTGGAAAATGATGGATGTTCACTTGGAGATATTAGTGGATACAATACAAGTGAAAGATATGGGATATATAGTGGATATAAATGGATATAATTGATACATGTTGGTTGGTGATTGGCCGATTCTACTGCCCAATAATCATATACATGATTATGATAATGATTATAGTCGCTCAATAGTGGGTTTAAAGTTTTTACACGCACCAGTTTATATGGAGATATAAGTGGATATAACTGATGTATGATGGTTGGCTGATGATTAATCAGCGGATGTTATGGGAATTAATGGGATTTTTATATGGATATAATGGGCATATTCAACATATTCTATGGAATATCATTAGGATATCATCACGGGACATAGCTTTTTGAACAATTTTTTGGGAACTCTTGGGATGATTAGTTTTTTTTTTAAAAATATATTGGGGATGATTAGATGCTCCAAGAACGGATCCAAGAACCCAGGATTTCATGGACTTTTCACACTGGAGAATGCTGGAGATCTTGAGAGCAAAACGATGGACAAACGAACTACCCGACCTGGTAAACAGCCACAGAAAACGAACTGGAAAATCATGGTTTAATGGGACTTAAAATGGTGGTTTAATGGGATTTATAATGGTTTAATGGGACTTAAAATAGTGGTTTAATGGGATTTATAATGGTTTAATGGGACTTAAGATAGTGGTTTAATGGGATTTATAATGGTTTAATGGGACTTAAGATAGTGGTTTAATGGGATTTATAATGGTTTAATGGGACTTAAGATAGTGGTTTAATGGGATTTATAATGGTTTAATGTGACTTAAAATAGTGGTTTAATGGGATTTATAATGGTTTAATGGGACTTAAAATAGTGGTTTAATGGGATTTATAATGGTTTAATGGGACTTAAGATAGTGGTTTAATGGGATTTATAATGGTTTAATGGGACTTAAGATAGTGGTTTAATGGGATTTATAATGGTTTAATGGGACTTAAGATAGTGGCTTAATGGGATTTATAATGGTTTAATGGGACTTAAGATAGTGGTTTAATGGGATTTATAATGGTTTAATGGGACTTCAAATAGTGGTTTAATGGGATTTATAATGGTTTAATGGGACTTAAGATAGTGGTTTAATGGGATTTATAATGGTTTAATGGGACTTAAGATAGTGGTTTAATGGGATTTATAATGGTTTAATGGGACTTAAGATGGTGGTTTAATGGGATTTATAATGGTTTAATGGGACTTAAGATAGTGGTTTAATGGGATTTATAATGGTTTAATGGGACTTAAAATCATGGTTTAATGGGATTTATAATGGTTTAATGGGACTTAAAATAGTGGTTTAATGGGATTTATAATGGTTTAATGGGACTTAAGATAGTGGAGTGGTTTAATGGGATTTATAATGGTTTAATGGGACTTAAGATAGTGGTTTAATGGAATTTATAATGGTTTAATGGGACTTAAGATAGTGGTTTAATGGGATTTATAATGGTTTAATGGGACTTAAGATAGTGGTTTAATGGGATTTATAATGGTTTAATGGGACTTAAGATAGTGGTTTAATGGGATTTATAATGGTTTAATGGGACTTCAAATAGTGCTTTAATGGGATTTATAATGGTTTAATGGCGCTTAAAATAGTGGTTTAATGGGATTTATAATGGTTTAATGGGACTTAAGATAGTGGTTTAATGGGATTTATAATGGTTTAATGGGACTTAAGATAGTGGTTTAATGGGATTTATAATGGTTTAATGGGACTTAAGATAGTGGTTTAATGGGATTTATAATGGTTTAATGGGACTTAAAATAGTGGTTTAATGGGGTTTATAATGGTTTAATGGGACTTAAAATAGTGGTTTAATGGGATTTATAATGGTTTAATGGGACTTAAGATAGTGGTTTAATGGGATTTATAATGGTTTAATGGGACTTAAGATAGTGGTTTAATGGGATTATCATGGTTTAATGGGACTTAAGATAGTGGTTTAATGGGATTTATAATGGTTTAATGGGACTTAAAATAGTGGTTTAATGGGGTTTATAATGGTTTAATGGGACTTAAAATAGTGGTTTAATGGGATTTATCATGGTTTAATGGGACTTAAAATAGTGACTTAATGGGATATACCCGGCCTGGTAAACATGACACAGAAAACGAGCTGGAAAGATCCACCATGCTATTAATGGGAAAACTCACCATTTCGACTGGGCCATTTTCAATAGCTATGTACAAAATTACCAGAGGGTATTCAAGAATATGCTTGTGATTAGTTCCTACCTAGTCCCTAGGGTTTGTCCCAAGTATAGCCGGGTAAACACATCCCAGGCGATAAGCAAACAATAAGTGTGGGCGGGTTGACACCCCAGCAGCAGTTGTTCATCATGTTTTCGAGGTTCATCGGAATTTGGACATTGGAGGCACCGCTATATTACCCTCTGGTTATTTAACATAGCCATGGTATAGATGGCCCATAGAAATAGATGGTTTACCTATTAAAAATGGTGATTTTCCATGGCTATGTTAAATAACCAGATGGTAATACTACACAAAGACAGGAACATTATCTGCACGTGGCGGATGTTCGATGAGCATATTCACAACGTGCGAGAAACGCATAGATACTGAAACGCTATCAAAGATAGGTACTGAAACGCGTTTCATCGGCAGAGCGGGCCGGTAAACCAACTGGTTTTTAATCTCTGGAGTACAGGGGCTGCTGACACTTTTTCACACTAAGCAGGGAGCCATATCCCCAGCACACGGCAGCAGGGGGAGATAGGCATTCCCCTAACATGCGGGATGTATCTATGCAGAGTCTTACCAACCTCCAATGATTCAAGTTGGTGCGATGACAATCCCAAACTATCCCAAACTGGTTGGTCAAATCAACTTGGTTCAAAGTTGTTTTCCTCATCATTCCTAGATTGACTTTCATATTTCTTGGCTGTGTTGAAACCACCATCCAGCATGTGTCCACCACCTGCTACTTTCCTGCCAAGCCTGAGGGGCCGTGACAGCATGGAGAAGCGTTCCTTGATCATCAGTGTTCCCTGGCTTTTTGTGGAAACTTCTAACCACATCAGCTTTGTTCATCCTTTTTCCTGGTGTAAATGGATGTAAATGGCCCAATTGATATGATGAACATATATGAACCACTCCTCTAGCGGATTCCAAACTGATGCCTGGAACTTGCCTTGCCAACAGGCTTCTGTTTGGAGCACCAGCGGGGTCTTCTTTTGGGCTTGGTGTCGAAACTCGTCTAGCCCTTGAGCATCCCACCGCCATGGTGTGAGGAACAAATTCATCACAGCCAGGTAGAAACCCCACCATTCACCCTCAAAAAAACTGCATCCGGTTGCCGATGCCCCGGTCAGGTTGATGAAGAGTATTCCAGGATGAAATTGGATGACATTGCAAAGGCACCTCCTATCTTCCAGGTGCTGCTGTTTGGCTGGACGTGGCCAAACACCTGTGACACCCTATTTTTTTTGTAGATTGAAACGTGCCATGTTGATTGTATTCTTCCACCATCTACCAGAGTTTGAGTGACAGTTGCAGAAATTTTGATAATCATGATGGTTTCTAACATTTTTTTTGTTCGACAATAATCAGTGACATGACGGCAACAGCTGACTTCACGGCCAAATAGCTTAAAGTCCGTGGTAAGAGGCCCCCCAATGTCCCAAGCCAAAGAGAAACAACACATCCTTTTTGCCATGTTGAGACCCTTATACTTCTTTTAAACTTCAATGAAAAGAAGACATCACTTGCTCGTTTCCATGCCAGGAAACTCCGGGTAGAACTTCCTGGCTTCCGTGACATGGTAATCTTCGATAAACACCTGATTTTTATCTTCTGTCAAATCCATCTTGAGACATATGGGTTTGTCTGAAAATAGAGTATATTCCCAATTATAGCCATTTAATAGGGATAATGATCATTAACCATTGGGTTTAGGGGTACACTATTTTCAGACACACCCATATTTCATCAAATGAAGGTTTACCATCTGGCTATTTAACATAGCCATGGAAAGATCCACCATTTTTAAGAACGGTAAACCATCTATTTCTATGGGCCATCTATACCATGGCAAACTGTTAAATAACCAGAGGGTACACAGTTTACCCTCTGGTAATTTAACATAGTTATTGAAAATGGCCATTTATAGTGAAATTTCCCATTAAAAATAGTGATTTTCCATAGCTATGTTAGTTTACCAGAGGGTACGCATCAATTTTTCTTCCGGGCGCCTTAACGACGCAGGAGGACGGCCGCATCACCGCGGGCAACGCCTCGTCGCTGAACGATGGCGCGGCGGCGCTGGTGCTGCTGAGCGCCAGCAGGGCGCGGGACATGGGCATCAGCCCCATGGCACGTGGCTCGGCGGGGATGGATCTTTTGTGGTTTTTTATTGTTTTTTCTTATAGGGGATATATGGTGTTATGGTATTTTTATGGTATTTTTATGGTATTTTCATGGTATATCTATATAGATAGATGGTTTGTTTCTTGAATATAACCATATATATATCTATAGGATATATCTATAGTATTATCTATGGTTATATGGTGTTATGGTATATCTATATTCATTCATGTGGGCAAAACAAAAACAATAAATCAAACATGACTGGGAATGTTTTTTTTACATACCACCTATACAAATGGTGACTGGGGGATGGTTGGGGGAAGAAACATCCATTAGCCAGACCTCATTGGAACGATGGTTAGGGGCATCATCCCCGATATATTTGCCTTATTTCCGGCTAGGGAACTATGATCATTTACCCAAAACCCATGGGATTTGGGGAGCAATATTTGGAGGATCACCCAACTTATAGTGCTTAGTAACGGTTAGTGACGCTTATATAGTAACTGAGTTCGCCCATTTTTTGAATGGGAGGAACCAGTTAGAGGACTTACGAACCCGTGTTTCTAACCAGTTGCTAAGTTGGTGGATCCAAGATCACCCAACGAAGGGCAATGCAGGGGGGATGTGGTATCCACAATGGAATTCAACTGTGTTTTATAACTACTGGTTGGTGGTTTGGAACATTTTTCATTTTTCCATATGTTGGGAATTATCATCCCAAGTGACTCATATTTTTCAGAGGGGTAGGTCAACCACCAACCAGACTAGGATGATTACTGGGATCATTGGCTGAGTTGATGAGGTTTTTAATTGTCCCCATGGTGAATTCACCGAACTGGGGAATCGGGGTTATATTCTTCGCTTTTTTTGAAACCCGGGGTTTCAGCAAATCGACGTCTCTGTCCAAATGCATGTGGAACATGAGCTATTTACATAGAATTGCTGTTGATTGGTGAAGGTTAGTAACTTGGAACAGTAATTTTGAAAATTCCAGTTGATTTGGTTATTAATAGTTTTGTGTTGATTTGTGTTGTTTATTCGGTATTATGAAACAACACAAAATAGGGATACGGAATGGCCCGACCGAGATGACTCGGATGTCTTTGGGGGGATCTGAAATCCAACAATGGTGGTGGGGATGCCCCACAGCCCAATTTTAATCGTTGGGATTTTGATCATTATCACTATGGGACGATTATTGGGGTGATTGTTAGGATAAATCATTTTTTTCATACCCTTGTTGATTGATGGTAGGATGATGCTTAGTTTCCGAACTGGTTGGGTGCTTCAAATCTGAAATGAATTGACTGTTTTAATTTGGGAGTGGAACGTGAAGCTCCACCTGTTTCCGGTATCTCATTGCGTATATCCCCAACTTTTTTCCTCCGGTCACCAAACATGGCACTGGAACATGGCCCGGTTAGAGATGATCCTCCCTTTGGGATTTCCCATTCCAAATAGCTAGTGTTCCAGAAAGTTCACTGATTCCCGCAAAAAAGTCACACGAATTGCCCAATTTCCATCTATTTCCATCAGTAAACCCGGACCTTTGCCAATTTTTTGTGCGGCAGGCGTGGTCTCCTTCGCCGACGCGGCGCTGGAAGCGCGGCACGTGGCCAAAGCGCCCAGTGCGGCGGTGCGGAAGGCCATGCAGGCGGCCAGGCGCGGTGAGGATCATCTATAAATATAAATGGTATTCAATGGGATTTATAATGGTTTAATGGGATTTTATAGTGATTCAATGGGATATTGTCATGGGATATGATATACCCCCTGGTAAACATACAAAAAGCGACATGGAAAATGGTCATAGAAATAGTTGATTCACCTGATTCACCCATAAAAATTGGTGGATCTTTCAATGATTTTCCATACTTATGTTAGTTTACCGGAGGGTACTTCATCTATAGTTAATAAAAATGATATTGAACTATAGTTACAGAAATTATAGTTTGGATCATGTTAACCTATATATATATATATGTGTGTGTGTTTTGCAACCTAGAGCAACATATCATAGCAAACCCAAAACATACTTCCTAAGGGGCCCGGAAAGCGCACCGAACCCATATATATATATATATGATGGATAACACTGTTTCACTGAACATATGGGAATGGATTCTATGGATCAGCATTTTCCAGACTCAGACCACAGATTGGAATGTCTATTTTTAGTATTAACAATATGCTTTTTTTGGGGCCTAATTTGAACCCAGGCCCATACCGGCCCATACCCATATGACCGATTATCATTATCAATGTTACTATTATTAATTACTATTATTATTATTATTATTATCATCTTAGCTATGTTTTGTTTGTTATTATTATTCTTACTATTTCATGTGTTGTCAAAACCCGGTGATATATTCATAGCATAATACAATATATATATATTGTTGATATCCTACCGACTTTGGTCAATATTATTGACTAACCATAGTCATAGTCATAGGAGGCAATATTAACATACCTATTTTAACTATTGTTAAGTTAATTCCAACCCCTGATTAATAAACACACACACATATATATATATATAGGCTGTTTAATTGGGGGTTGGGAACCCCATGATGAATAGACCAGGGTTTATGAATCCGGGGTTGAGTTTTTTTGACTTGGTCATGTTTAGTGGTGGAAAAATGGCTTATGAACTATGGTGACTAAACTATGGAAATGGGTGATGATCCTCCTTCCATGTATTCCACTGTTGGATGGATCGACCGGCAGGATGTCCACGGTGAACTTCTACGAGATCCATGTGACTTGGGCGGAAATTCAGGTTTGATATCCTCCCCATGTAGCATGAGAAAAGGGATACGAGGTTTCCTGTACGTTTGAGACAAACATCACCGAGGGACCTGTGCTATCATGTCTTTTGCAGATCCTAGTCGCAAGTCTAAGGAAACCTTCGCAGCGGTGTCTTGGTCAATTGCATATGCAGTGGCCGGCTGAAACGGGACCCTGTCAGGGCCCGCCTTAAGCCTCAACGTCTCAGGTGGCATTGGCCAACATGCAGCTGTTGGATCTGGACCCCTCGAAGCTTGGAACTGGCGTGGCGCCGTTGGTTATTTACCATCTGGTTATGACTCACCTAGCCATGGAAAATCATGGAAAATCACCATTTTTAATAGGTAAACCATCTATAAATGGGCCATTTCCCATGGCTATGTTAAATAACCAGAGAGTAGGTAGATTTGATGAAATCACCTACATTGATGTTGGGTTAGTGATTGCAAGTGGTGAATCTGCAATCTAATTTAGTTATGATCTGGAACCATGTACAACATACATTTATGTTTGGCTCCTGTGCTCGTTTAGTGATCTGAAGATTGTATTGGAAATAAGCAGCAAACAGGGTAGAATACATCTACTGATATGAAGATATCTTTGGAAATCACCAGAGTAGTAGGTCTCCTTGTCTCTTTGCTTTTCCGATGGTCACATTAGATTCTGGGCAGTGTCCCATAGTTGGTTGCAGGGAAAACTGATATAAACCCGAAAATTTTCCAGCAGATTTGCAGGTCAATCCAGTGAATATATACATATCTGCTATTTCTTCACCTCGATCCCCCACATCCCCAAAGACCAAAGCTTTATCCAGTTTGCTCCAACCAAGACAAACGGTGCAAATTTGTCGCTTTATTTTCTTTATTTCCTCAGTTATCCACCCTTGCATCATCTTAAATCTTGGGTGTTAGGAGCGCATGATCATACCACCAGAATATTTTATTGCAATAATAGTCAAAATATAATATGACTAATATGTGGTGCCAATATTGCAATGTTCATAATCTTCATGGGGCCATTTAAAGATTTCACACACTATACATCTATGGTGGTAAGTCACTACGATATTGATGAAATCCTGCCAGGGCCGAGGATTATCCCACTGGAAACTGGTTCCTAGACTGGTTACAGCCTTTTGACATGCCTAATGTTCATTTCACCTTTACCATGTTATTGAATCATGTTTTTCATCACCATTTTTAAATGCTCACACAGATATTTTGTTACGAGTTGATTTATATATTGTCTTAAAAAACATTTAACATACCATACTAAGATGTTTTTTCTTACAAAATATAAATTTTCATCAATCACCATTTTCAATGGTTACAGTTACTCAGATGTTTTTTTTTAATCAACTCGTTAAGTCAGCGAAGTGCATCAACGCATCAACGCATCGAGGCGTGTCAACGTCAACGGTGGCGCGGTGGCCCTGGGCCATCCCTTGGGTGCCTCCGGGGCGCGGATCGTCAGCACGCTGCTGACTGTGCTGACGCAGCAGGCGCCACCGGACCGAGGGGCGCCAGGGGCCAGGGCTGAACAGCAACGAAATCATGGATATTTTCCGGCAGAAAATGGTGGGTTCATGGAAAATCCACCAGAAAATGGGGGGGTTGAGATGGTTTATGATGGATTATGATGGTTTAAGATGGATTATGATGGTTTTAACTCAGTTGAAGCCGGTTCGACCTGGCCAGTGTTCCGCTTGCAACTTGCAAAGTGGGACGAAAGGACGATGGTGCTCAAGTTGGGTAAGCACACCCCACTGCCTGGCATTAGAAGACAAGCAAGTTGCTGGATGTACTTCTAGTTTTGCAGTTGAAACACGTCTCCTGGATTCTCCTGGAATCCTTTGGAATCTTCCTTGCCCACACGATAGACGACTTGAAAGAATCACCCACTTCTTGCATAGTCCTTGAAACCAGATTCAGATGTTTTGTAAACCGGAGTCAGTCACTGTCAACCTCTAAAGAAGCTACGTGAAAAACAGCTGGTGAAGTCTCATACACGTTCACTTTCCGACGAAATAACTGGTTCAGTCTCACTAACCAGAATTGTTAGTGACCATAGCTGAGTTAATCCTCATGCCTTGCCCGCAGGATCAAACAGTCATAGAAAAGTCATAGAAAAGTCATAGAAAAGTCATAGAAAAGTCACAAAAAACACCACACCATTTCAGGAAATTCAGTAAAAATAATGGGATAATTTCTACAAGTCATCATTTTTTCTCCTAAATTTCGTACTCCCAGGATGCCGAGACGGGCTGCGCGGCCATTTGCAGCACCGGCGGCGGGGCGACGGCCATGGTCATTGAGCGGCGGTGAAAAATGGCCATGGCATGCCACGGCCGACGGTGCCAGAATGAACCCCCTTTGAAGTGGGTAAAATGGGGGTAAACGGTACAGTAAACGTAAGTAAAAGATAGTAAAAGTTAGGGATTAGCAAAATTTTGCAAACCCCTGAAAAAATTAGCAAAAAGACCATGGCATCAGGATGTGTGGGGGAAATCATAAAGATTGAACGTGTCACTGATGGCCCACGGTTTCTTAGAGCTAGATAGGTGCCTCGAAACGATTAAAACTTGAACTTGAGGACTTTTGAGGGTAATTGTATGACATTTCTGGCATTTTCTGACTATGTTTTACTTTTTGGGAATCTTAGGGCTAAGATGCATCCTTTCGGCCACAAGATAATACAGTATATATATATATGTATTTAGAGGCTTCAGAGTATCATAAATTTTCAAATTATGAAGCAGGACTATTTCCACCATTGAATCATTTTTGACCCGGAAAAACATCTTCCGCAAAAATAGCATCCTTCCACCTCTCGGCCCAGGAAGGCCGCGTCAGGCTCTCAGTGATGATGATCTACCTGGTATCACTTGTCAACCTGGGTTTAGTCATGGGAGTACTTCCATCCTTTAAAGAATACCGAGGTTTTGATCACCGATCGCTATCCAATCTAGCTCGACTGGGTTGATGACATGAATCTGGGATTTTCCAGCTCTGGAGGCTATTGGCTAAGTGGCGCCATGAAGAAATAGGTTGACTTTGCATAGACCTTACACGGACCTTACACATGTTCGGTTATGATTGGGAAACCCAATGATAAGAAACCTACATACCATTTGGGGATGGCTTCTACCACCCATATGGTGATTTTGGCAATGGTTTACTGGTTGGTGGTTTGGAACATGGCTTTTATTTTCCATAATATATGGGATGTCATCCTTCCCATTGACTAATATTTTTCAAGATGGCTAAAACCACCAACCAGTTTACTATTGGGTTTACCACATTGCTTCTGATTTGGGTTCCTGAAAGTTCCCTCGACAAAATGGGCAGTGGCTCTGGAGAGCCGGCATGTCGGACTGCAAACGACACGCCAACACGACATGAATGATGAGCCCATCAGCCAAGATGATTCCGCATGAGCAACGAACAGTCGAACTTTCGGGGACCTATATACAACGATATCAAACAAAAATGGCCTGTGCTCTCCAGACCTAAATTTCATCGCCATAGACCTGGCCTGGAAGAGATTTTGCGGCCAGCCATGGCCGGCCCGAGTCTATGGTATCTAGTTGAAGGTGCCGGTTCCACGGAACGGTTCCACCGAAAAAACCATGGGGATCAAATCCACCGAAGATGGGTACACGTTTCCATCACATCGATTAAGAATCTCCCCGAAGTCATCAACATCACACATCCGAATCCAGGTGCTACTCCCAGCATGGGGAAATGGACACCCCACATCACCTCACATTTTCGCTTCAATTAGACTTGTGGCCAAAAAGCCATGCTCCGCTCACGGATGGCTGCGATGGCTGCGGCTGCGAGGCGAGCAAAGAGCGTCACCAGGGTGGAGGCATCCCCATTGAAAGTGAAACGCCTTATTTTAGATTGGCTGGTTGGTGGTTTGGAACATGGCTTTTATTTTCCATAATATATGGGATGTCATCATATGTCATCCTTCCCATTGACGAACTCATATTTTTCAGAGGGGTAGGTCAACCACCAATTAGTGTTTGTTTGTTATTTTCCCACGCGCACACATCAATGCACAAAAAAGACACACATACAGCCAGCAATGACTCGATGATTTTCAATAATTTTCCCATTTAAATGCCCATG